TTTAAAGTGGACACGTGGAGGACATTTTGATGCATCAGCGAACACTGGGCGTTCTTTTGCCATCAACATCGTTGAGGAATGTGACGGTGCACGATACGTCCACATTTTGGGAACATGACTGTATAGTATCGTAAAGTCGCGTTTCCTTTTGGGAGATATTTCTAGCGATTATGGAAAGAGTTTTGTCGCTTTTTGTATTAATTTCAAACAGTTGGAATTGTATAATGGACCCTGCTTTTAGCACGTGTTCAACACGAATATTCAAAGAATTATATAACATCGTTGCAAAATAATACCCTTTGGAACAGATCCATTTGTGTTAAACCTGTAGAGGCCGATGGCGAAATACGTGTGTGTTTCAATGTTTGCTTCAAGGTGGCCATAAGAAGTCACATTAAGAGACGTACTATAATCATATACAGAGAAGTTGAATTTCGGAAATATATTGGCAAAAGGTAAGCGATTGCTGCTCTCAGACTACTCGTTGATCACTATACATGAAAATATTCCAGTTCTGTCGACAAAACCCTAACTTTACATTTTCTATGTTCTATAACTTTCTGAAATCGATTTATTATTAAAGGTATCATTATTACAGATTTCGCTTTCAACCCTCACTATGAGATTGTCTGAGAGGTACGTGTACATTCAACATGTAAATCATTCCTACACTCGTACCAAATTCATACATCTCAAGAAGTGATATAATCTTGATGACGTCAATCTATCTTCTTACAAATTAATGTGAAAAACCTACGATGATTGATTGTGTAGAGATAATATTTCACTTCGTTTATTATTACTATTGTTTTAGTTAATGTATTAATATTCACCTGTCGGACAAAGCCATGCTTGTTCACGACCACTCACACCTCGACAGCACCGTGTTGATACAGAACATTTGGATGAACTCAGCTTCAAAGATGCAGTTGAATGAAGCCTTTAAGTTCGCATCATTGCATACAGCAGTTTGACAATTGTAACAATACATCATCCTATTCACCTATTATGACCAGACGGTATTACCTACTTGTATTCACCTACTTATGACCAGACGGTATGACCTACTTGTTATGACCAGACGGTATTCTCCTTCCCCGTAAAATAATCATCATTCTACAAGCCCGCATATGTTTCTTCCAACACAACCAGCATGTTAAATTAGATCGATGTGCCCTCCTTTATCAGTCTACATTTTTAAGGTGCCCAGTGGGTGAAACGGATACAAAAACGTCTGAAAGTTGACAGGTACATATTGCTAGAAATGTGATCAATTACATTGTAATGTACAGGTACCCTGTTCTTTGTTTCAAGTGTGCCTGGTAAGTCTGGAAACACACTTTCAACACACCTACTATTGGTTGTGATACAGTTTTTGAACGATATCAACATCCACATACATGTACCTGTCAGATATCCAGGTGATGCGTTAACGTGTATGTAGATAGGGAGTCTCAATGGAGTTGTGATTACCAAACAGGTGTGACATGTTATGTGAAATAACGTTTTGTTCTGTAAGGTGAAACATATTCATGTCCCTAAGGACGGTGCTGCTCTCTTCAGCGTGTGCGAGAGGATGAAGTGAAACACCCATGGTTTCTCTTGTTGTGTACGAAAAGAAGAACGTCTGTGTTTCCAACGACATGGTGGTCCTATCTAAATAGTCGCCGTTTTTCTTCTCCTTAGTTACGGGAATCTGTTGATTGTTGGGTCGAGTCCCACGTGTAATAGTGACTGGTATATCTGCACCAAAAGGATAAGTAGCCATACTGCCGAAATGCCAACAGGCGAAGGCGACCTCAAAAGCACCTAAGTAGCCATGACCGGTTACATTTGGGTATCCCCTATTATAAAGTTGATAGAAGTGATAAGTGATAGTTATCGCACTGCAGTATTTGCATGTACAGTTGTAACTGTATCATATAAGCAGCTGAAGTTATGAAACATCAAATTTTACAATGTATTTTAACTATATCGGTTTTCCTTATACTTCACGAGCTATGTCGAAATCTCGAACAGTATCGTATCTCTAGAAGTAGGAGACACTGCAGAACCCCCCGCTGTCCAAAGGTTATATATTTATTCGTTGATCGTAATAGCCACAAGCGTGGTGAAATGTGTACAAATGAATCCCTGAAAATCGGTGGTTACTCTATTCGCGAAAAGGTGACCATGTCAAGCTCTACCCACCAATCAGCATGTGACTGTTGCCCATATCGGCCTGTAAACAATCTCCTTGACCGGACAACCGAGTTATGAGAGTTTGAACCAGACAAGCCAGTGATACGATAGCACGTTTACTGAATCAGATGTAGAAAATAAGAACATATGTCAATCTTGAGTTACTTGAGTTGCTGAGTAGCTTTCCAGGAAGACGGACATTTACATATACAACGTCTGTGCAAAAGATTATCCAGCTTTGTCTTTCCTGAGGAACAGGTTCCATTTCGTTCATAGAGCGAGTAAGTGATTTTAGTTTTACGCCACACTCAGCAATATTTCAGCTATAAGGCGGCGGTCTATAAATAATCGAGTCTGGACCAGACAATCCAGTTATCAACAGCATGAGCATCGATCTACGCAACTGGGATACGATGACATGTGTCAAGCAAGTCAGCGAGTCGACGTTAGTCGAGTCTTACAAACATGGGTTACTGAAGATAAATTTTAACCCGGATTTTCACGGGTCTTTCGTTTATAGAGCTAAATACCTGTGACCATTATGTGAACGGACCGTTGAATATTAGTGATGACACCAGGTGTTTGCGAAAAGGGTAATTATTTCCTGTCCTACCCTTAGCACTCTCCATTCACGCATTGTGCACGCAGACACACATAATAATTTACAACCGGAAGCCACAGAACAGCACTCTTGCCACTGGACGGTAGCCTGTAAACAAACCGGACAATCAAGTGATTGGGAATATCCAGTCCGTTTGGCAACCCTACACGGGACTGGAAACTAATCCCAAGTTTACAAAGTGATGTATTTTCCACACTATACACTCGTGGGGTTTCGGCCACTGGGATCAGAGAACCCGTGACATACACGTAGAGAAACAGGTTTGTCCCGAGTGTTCTGAAAGTGCAAATTATGTTATCTCAATCTGTATTAAAGTCAGCACTAAATCGGAAATAGATTTTAAATGCATTACAAGTGTGTCATAACCTTTTGGCTTATTTGTGTAGGGTTGCCAGGGTTTGGACGGACGGCAGGATCCAACATGGAGTAACAACAAACACGCTCAGGTTTTAGGTTCCTTGCGTGTGGTTGCCAGTGGGGTTCATCCTTGTTTATGATAAATGCAGATGTGTTTATTATCGTGAATCAGTGTGACTACCCAGAAAGAAGGTTCACATGGCAAATTGAGTCTATTTTGTTTAACACATAAACGCAAGCTTTATACATAAATTTAATTCCCATTCAACTCATGCGATGTAGGCATGTCCGTCAAATCATGTTACGTACATTATGTGTGGTGAAAGTAACAATATCTGAATACTTAATGATTAAAGCAGTATGCATGTAAGAACAAACATGTGACGTTAAATTCTGGATAATGCATGCTCTGTAACGTAATTAGAAAATACAACACACCCTTCGGGTGTACCATTCACTATTCATACTCTGATGAACAATCAGCGTTCGTTAAGATGGCAATTTATGCCATGGATCCTGCGCTGTACGTTCCAAAGTTTTAGGAGATAGCGTGACACCAGAAACAATAATAATAAACACACGTGGTGAGGTGGACCACCGAAGGACAGAATGACTTTCAAAAACATAAACAAACACGTCAAGAGATATCGGCTGTAAAACGAGGGAATGACACATGAAAGCATTGTTAATGAATTCTTCTGTTAAATACTTTACCATAAGTGTTGTCACGAATACACCTTCTCTACAGAGGCGGTAAGAGTGTCCATGTATCATTATAATACCCACAACTGTCACTCCCCAATGGCTGCTGGCGGTGGTCTCTATGCAACTACTTCATGCTTACGTTTACTTCGAAACTGAATTCTAATGTATAATCGCACATGTATGTTAATCAAGTCTGTACTTGATAATTAATTTTTTTTTAATCATAATTATGCACATGCATGTGTTATGTGTTGTTATTGATTTTGTAAATAACCGGTGTAATATTCTTCTACTGGCTTGGAGTAATCCTAGTATTGAATAATGAAATATATTACTGAGGTTTGATGATGAGAAACTGTAAGCTTGTGTCGTCTTGCAAACTAACATAGCATCTATCAGTCTCGTGTCACAGAACGCTCCTGCACTCATCTTGAAACATATTACACAACAATGTCGTGTGATCATTCTCGCGTTCGCTAGAGTGTACACAAACTGTAGGAGTGTGTTTTCCTCACACTCCTTCAATTTATCGGAAGTTCCTACTAGTGAGCACAACGTTGGAATCTTTTGTTATGAAAATATTACATAACATGATGACTTAAGTCATGAATTACCCTGACTCATACTGTCATTTTTCAGATCGATCCATAAACCTACAGCAGCCCATGTCCTCGTCTAATTTTTTCGTAAAATCATATTCGTTTCTTTATCGCATGTTCTGAAATGTCACATCACACAGGTAAAACCTTCATATACAGGTATTTTCCTCGAGAATCAAAATGCATGTCGAAAGCGGTTAAGGCCTGAATATGTAAGAATAGTGTGAAAATATCAAGTTGTACACACACACACGCACGCACGCACGCACGCACGCACACTCACATATTGCATTGGAGAAATTATCTTGAGATACCATAGCCAGATATGGATAATATCGTGAGGCAAGGTACCGTTGTTTTTGGGAGTGGGGACCTGTATACATTCACACCTTGTTCATACAGGAATAGTGACGTAACTACACCGCATCTCGTTTACCCTCGATACTTTGCCGCCACGCTCGCTCTCATACCCTCAGTTGTATTTCGTCATCGTGTGCTTACACCTTTTCTGCGTTCACCACAGACACACTCCCGGCTTCTGGTATGAGACAGTCCCCTCCTCACTTCAGGCCGCCGTTCAGCGCCCTCTGCCAGCACGCGAGTCGGGGGTATATCACCGACTGCCAGCACCCCCGCAGCAGTTGGCTGGAAGCTGCGTTAACACAACACACTGCTACAGCTCTTGAATGAAACCAGCCACAGTGTGGGTAGTAGAATGGGTGTGCAGATAGTGGACGTGTTTTCCTTAACTCTGGATGACACAGTCTAGCGTTTCTTTATTGTATTTGTTTAGTTTGTATACGGAGTATATTATTGTGATATTGTGGAAACGTTTAATGCTGATGTGACGAGACTGATCACGGGAAGAGTGCTAAGTGGTTAACTCAGCTGTACTCAGTTTGTGTACAGGTGGCTTCAATTGATACAAATCAACCATGGGCATTAAAAGCGAATTCCGCACTTGTAACTTCGGATTAAACCACAGTGAACCTCATATATTCGTTTCCTCTCAGGTAAGTGTTCGATTATAATCGAATATGTTTTACAGATGCATGTGCATTTTACTTGAAGCTCTTTACGGAACAGAATTGCAGTTAATAGTGAAATGGTAAAAAACACACTTCTTCAAATGTAGACATCACGCTAAGGAGTATTATCGATTTTGGGTTGCATAGAACAGGCAAAGAATTCTTGTATGTTTTGCAGTGATATGAAATAAGTAGGCGAACTGGATTTATTAGCCCCTTTGAACAGTTATATAAATATCACTGCGTTTCAGCTTGAAGCCGTGGAGTTCAAAGGTTCAGTTCTAAACCCCACGAGCACATGTATAGTACGTTCTAGACTAACAGCTAGCCTCTGAAATGAACATATTTTACAGAAAAAACCTCATAGTGAAAAAAAATAAAATATAATGAAAATGAACCCTGAGACTTTCTTCATTTCCGTGGAAATCTAGACTTGCCATATTTTTCAGACTTGCGTGGACTTTCTTGGATATATTTGCTTCAGGGTCTGTATGACAGACTAAGTACGTTCTAACCTAGAAACATAATTGAGGGGACCCTGGATCAAAACCCACATTCAGACAGGAGGGTGCAGCAGTCTACCCTTGTGGGCGTCAAAGACTAATTAAATTACGCAAGAAATGTAGTTTGCATGAGTGACGAAACAAATTCGTAGCTGGTGGTCCTGAACGTCGCCTCCCCTTTGGTCAACAAAGACCACATCCAGAGTATTATCCCCTTCATGACAGTCTAGTCTCAACCGTCGTTACTAGTTATCTCAGTGATGTTTCCTCGAGGTTATATAGCCCTGCGTGCATTACCTTACTAGTTATCTCAGTGATGTTTCCTCGAGGTTATATAGCCCTGCATACATTACCTTACTAGTTATCTCAGTGATGTTTCCTCGAGGTTATATAGCCCTGCATGCATTACCTTACTAGTTATCTCAGTGATGTTTCCTCGAGGTTATATATATAGCCCTGCATGCATTACCTTACTAGTTATCTCAGTGATGTTTCCTCGAGGTTATATAGTCCTGCGTGCATTACCTAACACGTATAGAATTACTATTAAGTATATAGTTTGTGTAAAATTACTATTAACTACGTATACAGTTAGTATAACCGATCATATATTGGTGGGCTCATCATAAACCGATTGATGCCCTAGAGCTGGCTTCTAGTCACAATTATTCGATATTTGATAAGTCCTTGCACCTGTAGGTGTCGAAAGCTTTAGGTTGCCGTCGTATGACAGCTAGAGATTTTTTCTAAAGCCACGACGTTCACTTCTCTTCCAGTGGGGCCACCCCCGTCTCTACCTGTCCTGGAGGATATTCTGGGCTCTGTTTCATACATCCTGGCTGGTCAGTAGCATGGTGTATTCCACCAAAGTGACGTCATCACCGCTAGGTGGCGCTGTGTGGTTCATCTACCTCACCAACTGGACCTACCTCCTGCTGACCATCAGTGCTGTCCTGGACGCAGTCATCGTCGTGTTCGTCAGGATCAACAGACAGGACATTCAAAATGGTCAGCAGAAAAATAAGAAAAGCATAGTTTTTTGAAACATTGTGGTATGGTTGTTTGTTTGGGGTTTTACGTCGTAACCAGGAACACTTCAACTATTTGACGAAGGTAAATATTCGAGTCTAGCCCGGCGACCTGGTGATTAATATCATGATCATGGATACACATCGCAGGGTACGATGGCACTAAAACAACCACGTTACCGTCCCTTACTGATACTGTTGCAAAGCCGATGTGATGCAGGTCTCAAGCAGAGGTTTTATATCACAATGGCTACTGCTTTGTCCCATGCATTACATCACATATTATACCTATCGTGATAACCTTGTAGGTCTCCTGCAACCAATATATATCCAAAGGTGAAGTCGAGGTAGAAAGTGGTTGGGAGTAACACACCTCTATATTGCTTGTGATGACAGTGATGAATGTTGAGTTAACCGATATGGATTATTGTCGAATTACACTTTCAGGATTTACATCCTATCTACCCTGGTACCTGAAGATTTCTTGGCTCCTCAAAAGTGTCGTCACTGAAGGGAGTTTACACATCAGCGCCATCTACTGGATCTTTCTTTTCAAAAGTATGTCGTTTGTTGATGAAAGTAAGATTATACAGATGTGTATGTCAGATAAGATAAGACGTTATTATCCCCAGGGATATTCATATTTCACAGCTGATTGGCACTTAGAATATAAAGAGAATACAAAGCATTCAAATAGGAACTAGGAAAATGAGATATTCACTTATATAACCACAGATAAAAGCATGTTAATAAGACATTGGATATTATCAAAGTCATGGCAAAACTGGTATTCAGATGTATATAATAACTGTTACATATATCACTTACAGCAAACCTTAATAATAGGGTTAAAAGCAGACTAAGATCTAGAAATGTTAAAGCGAATTAAAACAGATACTCTTTCAAGAGACTTATTTAAAGATTATTCATATGTAATACCACGTTAGCAAGGCATGTAATTAAATCCAGTTCTAACATCCATTAATCGTATCAAATATTTGGTTGCAAATAACAGTAACTTTTGCAACCATGCCTTCACTAGTGAGGAACGTAATGAACCGCAAAGATTACACTCAAATTTGTATTTGATAAATGACAAAAATTAGCACAACATTACTGGGTTGAAAAAACTACCAACTTTAGGTCGGTAACAGACTTATGCTGTCCGTATCAAGTGGAATAACAATTTCTTCTGTGTTTCATTTGTAGTCACCATTATTCGTATACTTACTTTGGTTTGTTAAGACGAGGCGCCATTACACAATGGAAGGATAGAGTAGATTTTTTGCCATTGATTGATGTAATGTCTGATCACGTAGTGCATAATGGTAAAATACTTCACGTTGACATTTTCAGATCAAGATCTCACGGTTTTAAGATTCATCCTGCACGGCATGAATTCCATCTACGTCTTGTCCAACCTTCTCATCACTGCCATGCCAGTTCGTGTGTATCACGTGATCTACCCAGTAATCTATGGCGTCATCTACACAGTTTTCAGTGTCGTGTATCACATACTTGGTGGGACCAATGACAAGGGAGAACCGTATATCTACAAGATTCTTGATTGGTCCAAACTGAAGCGGACTCTACCTCTTGTGTTTCTCAGTACATTTGTGGCTCTACCCTGTTTGTATTTGGTTGTTTTCTCCATACATAAAGGGAGAATACATTTGCGTTCGAAATGTCTCCATGACAACAATGACACTCGGATCTTGGACTCCTCAAATGAAAGAACAGATAGTGAATGCATACGTGTTTGAATAATTATCATTTTTGTTATCTTTATGACATAACACATATTTACATGAAGGTGGACATATAGACGGGGAAAGATGAGTCTCCAAAATAACGTTTTAGATTATACGGACCATTGAAGGACACATTATCGGAATCACCCTATTCACTGGATGGTACCTGATTTGTACAGTGGTGTACTCTACAGTGTTCGAACATGGTGACTCGATGATACACAGCGTGATGACGGTTTTCAAGACCGGTGCCAGCCGTTGGAAGCTTTTGGGACGTAGATAGTTGATACGCCTGTCAGTCAGCTGGGTGTGATCGTCGCACAATACAAACCTTTTATTTCTGTTACATTGTGTTATGTGGAAGGTGATGGAGATTCTGATAATAAACTCATACATACAACAACACACATCTCTATATTACATGTCCTGCCCTGACTGATTCAACAGGTGAGGTGAGGTGAAATTGGGTTTAACGTCGTGCTTGAGAATATTTCGCTCATATGACGACGTGCATGCGTGTGAATGTGTATGTGCGGCTGCTTGTACTAGTCCAGACTGAAGCTGGTTTTATAGTGCTAGCCCACTGAGATACCATGCCGCAGTGAAGCATGAATACCCCACTCAGACACATTATACTGACTCCGAGCCGACCAGTCCTTGTTGTACCCATTAATGCCGAGCGCCAGACAGGGACCAACAAGTACCATATTTTAACGTCTTTTGGTATGACGCGGTCGAGGATCGAACCCGCGACCTTCCACTCTCCGGGCGGACGCTCTAACCACTACACCACGGAGACGGTCCTGATTCAACAGACAGCACGAGAGCTTCGAATCCTTATAATGTTCTATGACTATCTCCTTTGCGACCTGACACGTGAAGATCCGGGTAAGAGTTGATCTTCAGTAACCCATGCTTGTCGTAAGAGGCGACTAACGGGATCGGGTGGTCAGGCTCGCTGACTTTGCGCAGATCGATGCCCATGCTGTTAATCACTGGATTGTCTAGTCCAGACTCGATCATACACAGACTGTCGCCGTACAGCTGGAATATTGCTGGGTGCGGCGTAAAACTATACTCACTCACTCCTTTGTGACCTAGGTGCAGTGAAATCTCCATAACTGTAGCGGAGGTAAATCTATACATCATTTAATTACTGCCAATTTCTGGTGTCCCCCGTTATGATGTTGCTGGAATATTGCTAAAAGCGGCGTAAAACCAAACTCAGTCAGTCAGTCAGTCAGTCATTTAATTACTGACTATTTAGAATCCTTATCGCAACGGTTACTTCCTATTATTATTATATGGTACCACGGCTGGTTATTATTGATATGTTTAACGAATGCTAGTAATAAGCATCTCGCTGGTAGACTACCCTGTCTAGTACAGACACACTAGGAATAGATACTTTAGCAATAAAAAGACGGGACCCGGCCTTTGCATACTTTGTTTTAGATATACAAAGGTGAGGTGAAATAGGGTTTAACGTCGCACTTAAGCTTACTTCGCTCATATGTAATTTCGCTCACATGACGATGTGTATGTGTGACTGCTTGTACTAGACCAGACTTAAGCTGGTTTTATAGTGCTAGCCCACTGAGATACCATGCCGCAGTTAAACATGAATACCCCACTCAGACACATTATACTGACTCCGAGCCGACCAGTCCTTGTTGCACCAATTAATGCCGAGCGCCAGGCAGAGACCAACAAGTACCATAGTTTAACGTCTTTTGGTATGACGCGACCGGGGATCGAACCGACGACCTTCCGCTCTCCGGGCGGACGCTCTATCCACTACACCACGGAGGCGGTCAGATACATAAAGGGTAAGCACACTTCAATAATGCGACCGATAACTTTACGTATGATAAAGTAATAACAATAACCATATTTTCATTGTACGGCGACATCTGACAGGAGATGGCTATTTGCGACGCGTGCACATTTGATCCATAGTGTAAAGATGTTTATAGGGTTAAAGACGATAAAGTTACTTTCGTAAAGAAAAGGAAATGACATTGGCCGAGATCCGACCCAAGTGGTAAAAATATACACGATAGCGACCTGTCACTTTCTCCAATCTAAGACGATTAAGAGCAGGTTAGAGGTTCCCATATCTATGTTTATCAACTGCAGGTCAACAGCGATTCCTCACTACATTGATAACAGAAGTTGACCTGAGGCTGAGGTTGTAGTAGATGGCCAAACAGCCCTGGCCACTCAGATATATTTCAGAACGAAAACCGACCCCAACTGGCCGGTGGTGTGATGATAACAAAGCTGTCTACACAAACATATTTGTTATCCATTGGCATGAGTGTTATCATAAGCTGTATTCGCTTTTCGGTAACTCATCCCATTTTCAAAACAAAGGTCAACCTCAGGTTCATCTATTGAACTATTGTTGAATAAACATGCTGCTGTTTAACAGATTTACTGTCCAGCTTTCAGAGGGTCATATGTTTCCGTTCCCAAGATAAACCTAATACTGACCCCCACTGTAGTGATGCAGATTCCACATTGAAGACCGGCATTGATACACTGACATTGGTATTTTCGGATATAATGTTCATGAATATTGATTTCATGGTCAGTACAAAACTGTTTAAGCAGTACATTGTAAATTTACCGATGAAATTAGAGCCTACATAAGAACATTTGGAGAACAATTGTGTCAGGCAGTGATTTGTTTTACGTAATAATTGATTATCAAGCCAAACAGTGGAACATAATAAAACTCTTTCATAAAGGTTCGAGTGTGAAGTCTATCTCAGGAATATTGCTGGGAGCGGCGTGAAACTATATTCACTCAGTCACTCCCTCTTCACATTGTGTAGATCATTGTGTTTTAGTACACTACTAAGATGTAGGGAACTTCCGATAGTTTGTTAGCATTTTTATTTTTCACGACCATTTGTTGTAATGACTACTTAATACATCCTCGATAATCTCCTGGGTATACGTTACGATAACTCTGGAGAGCTATTGTAACGTATACCCTGGAGATTATCGAGGCTGTACTTTGATTCATGAATACATGTTCAGTCGCAATTGTACAAACGCTTTTAGAAGAGTTACTTGTGAATATACACTCTTTAAAAAAAAACGCAAAATGAAATTCAAGAATGATACTTACAATTTTGTACACATATGTAAACTCAAACATTTTTTTAGGGTTGCACATTGTTTCTGGAATGTTTTAGAAGATCATGCTTGACCAAACGCAACCAAAAATGATTTTGAACGGTTTTATCAATCAGGATTGTCATGATGTGCGTGGATGTCAAGCAGCACGAATATCAGGCACAATGATTGTTTCTCACGTGCAAAGCATGAGTACAGCATGTGACTATAAAAGACCCAAATGAATCTCACAATTTCATCCACGATCTTTGCAAGTACTGTACACGAAAATGGGACGTCTCAACGCTGCCGATTGAAATCAGGCAATTGGACGATTGCAAGCTGGAGAATCAAAGAGTGAGGTGGCAAGGATCTTCAACGTTCATCCCAGCACAATAACTCGATTGTGGGATCGATTTCGTCAAACAAATTCGACAAATGACCGTCCAAGATCAGGAAGACCTAGAGTTACCACACCTGCCCAAGATCGGTACATCCGGGTAACCCACCTACGTGACCGCCATCGTACCGCCCGGGACACAGCACAAGAACAGTTTGGAGCCCGAAGAGTGTCCGATCAGACAATCAGGAACCGTCTCCGAGAAGTAAGAATACGTCCAAAAGTTGCCTCCTCCTTGACACGACTACATCGACGTCGACGAGTGAGATGGTGTAACACGGTGCTGCCATGGAACCTGGCAAACTGGAGGCGCATATGGTTTAGCGATGAATCCCGTCATCTCCTCAGGCGACGTGATGGTAGAGACCGTGTCTACAGACGACGTCATGAACGTTTTGCATCAGACAGGTGGACAGATTCGGTGGAGGGAGTGTTATGGTGTGTGTGTGTGGGGGGGGGGGATCTCATATACCCGCAGATCGGAACTTGTGCTTGTCCAAGGCAAACTGACGGCCAATCGATACATCGACCAGATTCTCCGTCCGCACGTCCTTCACTTTGTTGACCGTCAACGGCAGCTCTTCCAACAGGACAACGCCAGGCCCCACACAGCACGTGCCACCGTGGACTACCTGGCCAATAACAACATCAATACCCTCCCCTGGCCCTCCAGATCCCCGGATCTAAACCCAATCGAACACCTTTGGGATCAGATCGATAGACGGGTACGTCGACGTCGTATTCCACCACAGAATCTTCAACAGTTGTTCCACATGCTGCAGGAGGAATGGAGAAGGATTCCACAACAAAACATCCAACGACTGATTCGATCTGTACCCAGGAGGTGTCGGGCAGTGGTAGCAGCTGGAGGTGGTCATACGAGGTACTGACTTCAACACCACCTGGTGGACAGCAGTAATGACTGTAATGACTGTTATTCTCATGAATATGGACAAGATAGCAATGCATTGCTCCACAAAATTTCATTCATGTATCTTTGTTTTCCGCTGATCTACACGTCCTTGAATAACACCAAATTTTCATTGATATTTGGGTTTTGTGTTTCTTTTTTTGAAGAGTATATATAACTTTTGTCGCTTTTCAAAGTAACAAGTTTATGTTTTGCTGGGTACTCGAATACAACTGGGCAATCATACTCCTGATGCAGCATCTGTATTGTACAACACATTTCATGCATCACTAATTTGCTCAGCTACAACCATGTACAGTGTACTTCACGTCGGGGTGAAGTCTCTTTAATTAAGATGTAGGTAAAGAAGCCCGCTTTTCATGTAGTTGGTATTTCCTGTCTAATTACAATTACAAGTAAAGCACGTGTTTCTTATACAGCTAGATCCCTCAACCACCTGCATACCACATCAGAATACCTTTTAAAATAACTTTTCTCACTTTTCCACATTCCTTCCGTATGCAATGCCCCTTTCTACTGATTTCCACTTCATTCTTCAGCACATGTGATACATGTTATTACAGCAGCTGTTCCGTGGATATAACACATACACAAAAACATATGAATAGCTAATCAAAAGTAAGGATTATATCCTTGATAAATCCTAAAAAATATTTATCCCTTCACACAGCTGTAAACTACCAACACCAGTTCTGTGGAAAATTCCATTTTTACTTTACAAGTTTAAGTGGGACCGAATGCC